ACTTTTGTCAAGAATAAGACTAAGTGTTTACAATATATGAGCTATGTCACAGCATTTGAATTCACTCCTTATGCCAATTTCTCATTATTATATACAAACATTTGATTCAGTTTGCATTGAATAGTGCATTGAATGGGCATTGTTCACTTCATTTAAGAAACCAAAATTTTCTTTTTAAGAACCTGATTATTTAGGAATAAAATTTAATAATAAATTAAAATAGACATCAGAAGTCAATTCATGCGTTTATTTGTAGTTTTAAATGGTTTTAATTTTTAATATTATTGAAGTATAGGGTATTCACATATCATTGAATAGCTTTATATCTATATTTTAACCATTATCATAAGTTTGTAGAAGAGGGACGACATTCTTCACACAGCACGTTGATTTGTCTTATATTATCAATCGGTCACAGTGCTGTTACGTAACTAATTACAAGCACTTCGTGATTATAAATATAAGTAGTAATATACAGTTGTAATTATTATAAAATGTACATAAAATTGAGAATGGAAATGGGGAATGTGTCAAAGAGACAACAACCCGACCAAAGAGCAGAAAATAGCCCAAGGCCACCAAAGGGTCTTCAACACAGCAAGAAAATCCCGCACCCGGAGGCGGGCTTCAGCTGGCCCCTAAACATACATGTATACATAATAAACGAACTTGGTAATTGTCATTATTTGCCGGGAATATACATATTTATCGGCAATTTGTACAATTTTCCTTTGATTTTACTGCCTAATATTTTTAAGATCATGGACAGGACTTGATACTCGAAAATATTAGGCAATAACGTCATGTATAGGTACAGCAACGTCACGTGCTTAAGCATGTTAAGTCCTTCCGCGTAAATTTATCAATGAAAAGCACGCGACTTCATTCATACACCCGAACAACTATCCAAACGTTTTGTACGCGTAAAAGTAGTTTTACTTACTATTTCATTTTATATCATATTCTCAACCAAAAAACAAACATACAGTTAAGACAAATTGCCGATAAAAAGAATAATGGCATTTAATTTTTGATACTGACTTCATCAGCTCGAATATCAGCTCGCCCTAGCGGGCTCGTTTGGTATTCTTGCTGATAAAGTCAGTATAAAAAAATGCAACTATTCTCTATCTATCCCCTTCTTAAACTGATAACCGGAGTCTTATTTAGTAAGGCAAACATAAGTACACTAGGTAAGTAATCATTACCAAAAAGAAGGATAATTGTTGTGTGGGGATGTTCACAAGTCATAGTTTAACCGCAGTTGTTGCTGACAAAAAACGTAAAACAGACGATAGATAGGCCTATCTTTAATAGTTTGGTATGTGTCAATTTTTCAGACAAAAGAAAGTTTCCATACATACTGCCAGACTGGCTGTAAACTTTTGAACATTCGTAAATTCACAATTTTTTTTCTCATTTTCAGTATTTTTGACTTGATAATTTAACCGAATTCTGCATTTAAATTTCACAAATTGTCTGTTTTAAAAAATAACATGTGTATGTTAAAAAGTCTTTTATTCATTAAATTTGCCTTATTTCAATCGGTTAATGTATATGTGCGTGTCATTTGTTTGTATCCATGAGTGAGTATTGTGATATGTAAAAAAACAAATGAATGAAATACAATATGTTACTTCCATGGTCAAATACATAAAAGAGTAAAATGTTACTCTTTCTCAAATACAAACATATATAAGTACCAAGGGGGTTGGATGACCTAATGCGAGATAACTACGACAAAACCAAAGAAGAATAGACATTAATTGATCAGAACCACCGAAAGTCAACTTTGCCTTAAAGATCTATTTGTAAGTTTTTGAAAAAGATTTTTTTTTTACAATATTTCAATATGTACAGAAGAAGAAGTAAACTTAACAACAAAATTATTTTCATTTACCTGTGTATAATATGACGCAGGTTTCTTCAAATGTGATGATTTTCTAAAAATTGTTTGACATTTCACAGTGATATCATACTTTAACTTTGTTTAAACCTGTTTATTTACTTTTGACTTTAATTATTTATCCCTTGTAATTTTTTTATTAACTGTGTATTTGCATTCAGGTGTCACAGGTCAAATTTATTCGTTCATTGTATGTTAATTTACGTTTTTTGATTGAGTTAAGCCTTCCAATTGATATTTTATAGTGTGTTTTTCTATGTTGTGATGTTATACTATTGTTTCAGAAAAGGGAGAAGGTTTGGTACCATTAAAACGTTTAATCCCGCTGCAAATGTTTGCACCTGTCCTAAGTCAGGAATCTGATTACAGTAGTTGTCGTCTATTTATGTAGGCCATACGTGTTTCTCGTTTCTCGTTTTTATATAGATTAGACAGTTGGTTTTTCCGTTTGAATGGTTTTATACTAGTAATTTTTTGGGGCCTTTTATAGCTTGCTGTTCGGTGTGAGCCAATGCTCCGTGTTGAAGGCCGTACCTTGACCTATAATGGTTTACTTTTATAAATTGTAACTTGGATGGAGAGTTGTCTCATTGGCACTCATACCACATCTTCCTATATCTATATATGATAAGCTAAAGCCAATGTCCAAAGAGTAACTACTGGACTATTGATACACTCTGGGACTAACACTCTATCAGCAATGACAAAGACCCAGTGATTGTGAATTACAGCAACACGAGCAACACTAACAGTAAACATTTATATGTCAAGATTAACATTCACAAAAAATAAATTCAGATGTATTAAAAGATAGACTAAATCATTCACGATTAACTTTGCATGGGAGATTTGAACTTAGGTGTCACGAACATTTCTAAAATCTCCTTCCAAAGAAGAAAGGAAGTAAAAGGGAAAACGACTCACATGACAGTTGGTTGCAATATACAACATCATACATATATTGTGTTCAAGTTTTTAATCTTCTATGTAAGAAGACGGTTTAACTGAATATGCGAAAGATGTTTTTTTATCAATATATCGGTTCCGTCCATTGTACCTTTTAACATAACGTTTCTGGACTAACTGCTACTTTTATATTTCACTGTTTTGAATTGCTACTCATTGCAGGGCAAAGAGGACACACTTAGAACATACTTTTCTAGTATGAAGTAAATGAGTATATGGAGAAAATGTCGATTAGACCTAACAATTCAATAATGTACTAAAAGCACACCCGAATGTAAGACAGATTGTGACTAAATGCAAAAGTGACAATAAAAAATCTGATACAAGAACTAAATCCCTGAATTTCTTATTTCAATCCACAGATATATCCGACGATCGATCTTTATACCCAAATCCTGGGCCATTCTGTTATGCTATACAATTTGATTAAAAAAAGACTCAGTATTTGTGATATTTAAACCAATGTGATAGACCTAGTGCGTGACATAGATTGTGAATCAAATCATGGATGCATGCAACAGATTGCATTCCTAAAACTATTGCGAAAGCCTTTTACGATTGATGAATTCCTGATGTTTATACACGTTAAAATATCCGCTACACTGTATTTTATATATTGATAGAATTATATAAAGAAAAAAAAATAGATAGTTATGAGGGTCTGAAATAGAGAAGTTCAGTACATTATAAAGACCAAAAGGTTCCTTGTTTAATCATGTGTATAATCTTAATGTTGGGATCCACACATACACACATACACACACGCATGCATATTTTTTCTATACCTTTTCTTCCTATCTTTCCTTTTTCTATATTGTTTGTTAATATGTCTCTAAAATTACAGATGTTTGATTAGAATTGTGTATTAACAAATTTGATATTTACATGCTGTGAAATTCTATTGACTAATATTGTATCATAGGAGAAGACGATCTAAGTTGGACTAACTTATGTCTTATGCTTTTTGTGATATTTTGCAAATAAAATATGTTTAAACTAAACCCTAAGTTATTGCAAATAAGTAACAAATGAACTGTCAGATAATAAGAACTGCATAAAAAATTTACGGAAATCAGCAGTGTGAATCTATTTATCGTTTGTTAAATCTCTGATCATTACAGATCAGCGCATGGAATTGTACTTTTGCCGCTTATTCTAAAGGTAAAGTTGAGTTATTTCGATTGTCTATATTGTTTGACAGATTTTCTATCTAATTCTATGATACGTGGAACATCTGCTACTGGTTTCAGTTTCAGATGTGTTTGATAAAAAATATTTGTGTTCTTCAAAACTAGTACCTAACTAGTTGGAAATCGAAACTGGTTTTACATTTGTTTCCTGAAAACTGAAACCAGTTTCCTCAAATTATCGAACCTCCTCTTGTGGTTTGACTAGTTAAACAGACTGTTGTCAGAACTTTTCGTTTTGAAACCGGTTTTAAACCAAACCATAAACCGTAAAATGAAACTAGTTTGAATGCAGCAAATATGCAATTAGTTAGAGACAATAGAAACATGTTCAATCTTATATATAAAGTTAAAAGTAGAATGTAGGTTTGTTGATTCTTAATAAGAGAATGAAATTTTAAAGTTTTTTTTCTAAACGGGTTGTAATTCAACTGTAAGTTCGTGTACTGTGACATATCAATCTACATTTCGAATTCATTTCTTTGTTCATCTGAAAACTCTCAGATAAAAATATTTTAAATCGTGTTTCATCAGTTCAGATTATAAATCAACATCTATTTTCCTCGTTCTATGATCATGTTATACATTCTTTATGTTTCAGTTAAATCGATTTATGACTATTGAACAGCGGTATACTACTGTTGCCTTTATTTATGCTGTTTACATAACAAACATAAAAATCAAAGTATGTCATATCTATCAGGTTTGAATAAAAAATGAACGGATATTGTTGTTTTATTAAAAAACTTCTCACATTCTTCATACGTAAAACATAAATATTTGGTACTACTTTTAAAATGTATTGAAAAATTGAAAGAAAGCTATAGAAGTCTGTTCATAAATGTTTACTAATGTACAATAGTTTTCAATGATGTTAAATTAAAATCATCGAAATATATTATATCGATGAATTGCTTTATATTTCATTTTCAAACATGTATTATAGTGAATACAATTGAACAGATTTTACTTGATATAGACTCTGTAAGAAAGGGAAACACTTGTGTATCAATTCATAATAATGTCTTAGACTGAGGAAAAAAACCCAAGGAAAAAGAAGGAACATATATAAAGTTAAATATGATTATTTTTCTGTTGGTCTTTCTATTGTGTTTTTCTGCAGGGACTAAAACAATAAACGGTTAGTTTAAAATAATATAATTATAATGATACACTTAACAGCAGCAAGAAGAGCAAATTCTCCTTTCACTGTGACAAATTTAAACATTGAAACGAAAACAGTTACCAGACATTACACAATTTTGTAATTATTTGATTTTGTTCCGATATTCAGATAAAGATAAAGGACAGAAATATTCAATATACGTAATTTTTCAGAAACTTTATATTCTACTCCCAACATTCCATTATTACTTTGATTTACTATTTACACTTCAAATATTCAATCATCTCGGCAGTTTCGTATATAGCATCTGTATCTGAGTACGGGAATTTGATCCACCAGGGCTGGTTCAAAGGGGCATTAGCTGTCAAAATCCTTTTCTTCGATATGACACAAATGTTGCATAACATACTAAAACGTATATCCAAATTAAAACAGTAAAAAAGTAACAATTAACAATGCATCGACTGGTTATATAGTATTAGCATTTCATGTGGTTTTTTTTTTAGATAAGACGCCATAAAATTATCCATCGAGATGACCTCTGAAGACTGACGACGTTCATATAACCCGATATAAACATAAAATATTAAAAGACAAGCTCGTGCGTCTAGGTCTGTTTGATTTCATGTTTGACTTAAATACATATATCAATCATCGTTTTATCTGTATAAGAATGATTTTTCGTTTGCCGGATCATTCAACTAACTGGTTGTTCCTATTATCTTCCTTGTTTCTCTTTTCAATGTTGATATTCTTTTCTTTTTAATGACTAAACATGCTGGCAACGTGATGAAACACATGCGCAACCCATCTCCACTATAGGTCAAAAGTAAAATAACAAAAATACCGAACTCCAAGGAAAATATGAAACGGAAAGTCACTTATCAAATGGCAAAATCAAAAGCTCAAACACATCAAACGAATGGAAAACAACTGTCATATTCCTGACTTGGTACAGGCATTTCCTTATGTAGAAAATGTAAACCTGGTTGTATAGCTAGCTAAACCTCTCACTTGAATGACAGTCGCATGAAATTCTATTATATTGACAACAATGTGTGAACGAAACAAACAGACACAATAGTAAAAAATGTCAAAATTAGGGGTACAGTAGTCAAACAAAGTACTTAAGATTTCGTTTTACCTCCTGTAAGCGCGAATAGAAGAGTATCTTTAGTGTATAGCTGTCCTGGAGTGATATTCAAATGTTCGAGTAGAACGATGTCTTTTTTTTTCTTTTTTTTTTTGTAGCAGCATATTACCTTGTCAGCTATCACTTAATTTTAGGATTGAATGCTGTTTTATGGAAATTTAAACGAAGTGAAAGCAAGTGACCATCACATTTTGCATGAAGCGCAGAAACACGAAAAAGTGCATCTTCCTAAAATTGTTTTGGTCAATGGTTTTCATTTTGTATAAATTTAAGAAAAAAGACAGAATTCATCTTATAATACATATTTTCAAAATAAAGAGATATATGTTATCCACAGTTTGAATAAAACTTTAAAAACAAAGCTTCGGCAGAAATTGTCTTGTGAGATAAATGCATAATCATAACATGTGAACAGTTATAATGATCCGTCATATAGCTGACATTGACATATGAAGATGTCGATTTCAAAGTTGATCGCTCGTAAACTTTTGTCAAATATCAATCATGACTGTACAGGTCTCTCATAATTTATTGTTATGTATTTATACAATTGTCCATACTTCAAGGTAGATTGTCAAATACTTTTTTCAAATGAATGAAAATTGCGAATTTTTAAATGCATAATCGTTTGCACGAAGTACACGAACAATGTGAAAGAATTGTGTTGATTGATAAGGTATGCGGAGCTTATAATTCTAAAATATTGCATTGCTTTCAAACCTTTACTGTTTAGTCTATTTTTGGTAATATCCTTTTGGCGTGGTATTTATACATCCCGCCATTGTGTTTTGTGCTATGGTCATTTTTTGTATTCTTGTCTTTCATTTTTGTTGATGTGCTTTGTCTATAGAGTGTCTACAAGCCATTATGTTTTTATTTGTTTACATAGTTGTTTGTGTTTATAGTGATTAAGATTATAGCACAATGTTCAGGGGCAGATCCAGTCATTTTTAAAAGGGGGGTTCTCAACTATATGTCCCCATTCAAATGCATTGATCGTCAAAAAAAGGGGGGTTCCAACCCCCGGAAATCCCCCCCCCCCCCCCCTTCCCCCCCGGATCCGCCACTTATGCTGACTGCTGTACCCCAATTAGTGACATTTTTACCTCTTATGTCTGTTTGTTTGTTTGTTGTCAATATAATGGAATTTTATGCGACTGTCATACAAGTGAGAGATTTAGCTAGCTTTAAAACTAGGTTTAATCTACCATTTTCTACATAATGAAATGCCTGTACCAAACAGATATGGGGTCAATTACTTTTGAAAGGAAAATTTAGATAAAATTAAAAACATGCATTTATTCTATGATATGTACATACGCATTATACATTGCTTTATAGTAATAACAAATGAAATCTACAGCGACTATTTTCTAATTCAGCCAGTATCAAAGAAGAGTAAAAGTTAAATATCTGGTGTGTTTCGGGAATAAAGAAACACATACATAAATCTGAAGTGCACATAATACTTTGTCTACTTTGACTAGAGGTCTGGTTTAATTTAATTCTCAAGATGATAAAAAGCCTTATTCAATATTTTGAAAATATTAAATTTTGTTTTAATTACCTATTGAAATTTTATGTTTTAATGTATTTCATTGAAAACATACAAAAAGAGAACCACTTATTTTAATATTTTGAAATGATTTTTTATTTTGACCATACCTAATTAAAATTATTTTTCCTAAAGAAATGATTTAGAAAGTCTGACTTTTTAAAATATATACTATAGTTTTAATCACAATTAATTGAATAAAAAAATCATGTTCCTAGGGGTATATTTATCTCTCTCTAATTGGCTTAACACCTATTTAACATGCAAACATAACTTTTGTAAAAACAGTCATTATGTAAAGGTTAGACAATACTTGGTCTTGTTTTATGAAGATTTAAAGCCCAAGGCGTAGCCGAGGGTTTTAAATGTTCATAAAACATTACCAAGTGTTGTCTGACCAATTTAGAACATATTCACACTTTCGAGTGACCTTACAAAATTATCCTTTCCCATCGTAATATTCAAACCTTAATAAGAATTCACTTTTTATAATGAAGTGTTAACTAGGCTGAAAAAATGAATGTTTAACATAGGTAATGATCATTTCAACGGATGGAATGATATAGCAATAACACAGTTTTGTGAGGACAAAAAGGATAAATTGTACAAACATTGAGTTTTTCTTCTGCTTCAGGTAAAATTTAATACTTATATACTTAAATTTCTTGATTTTTAAAAGCACATGTTATATAAATCAGCTTTTTGAAATTTGCATATTTTTTTGATAATTATAAAACTCACTCTATAAATATTTGAATCACAATCATTCAACATCAGTTGTTTACTTTTTATTGATGAATGTACATGTATTGTGGTTTTTTTTCGAAAAAAATCCTTTGCTTTATATATCAGCAGAACATTGTTTTCTTGAAAGAAAAAAAAAATTATTCACTCGAATGTCTGGTATCAAAATTGAATAAAAGATTATTTTACCTACATCTTTGCCCCCATTTCATTTTTTGTTTGTTATATATATGTACCATGATAAACATTTGCAAAATTCAAAATGTTTTTTTTATAATTCTATTCTCTTTTATCTTTAATCAGTAGGCTTTTTTCCAAAGGAAAACGTCTCAGGGGATTGTACACTTCGTTAGTGTAGTTATTAGGAGTTCCCTTTCATAATTAATCTACAATGAAGAGTCATTCATGTAAAGCATTTTATAGTGCATGGAAAGCCATTAGAAGGGAAAAAACGGACTTTTCATTGGACGAGAAGGGGTGACTAAATAGTTTATAATAGATGTTATATTTATTGATTGACTATGTCCTTTAAAATTGATTATGTTAAATCAATGTCTAACAATATCTATCTGAATGTACATGTAGGTAACAAGCTTATTAAGGTGTAAGACAGTGACTTACTAATGGTTTCTTTTAAACACAAATTATGGCATGTTTCTACAATCTTTTTTTTCTTCTTCTTAATAATTTTTTGTTCGTTCATTACAAAATAAAGAATCTCCCATGGTTGTGTAATTACAGGAAGTAACTGTGTATACTTTGCTTTGTCATCTAACTACATTTACTAAGGTCATGGCTTTTCATCATTTTCTGAGAAAAAAACAAGATTCAATCTTTCTGATCCAAAATTTCAAATGCAATTCAGTTGTAATTGTCAATTACAGATAATTTTGGCTTTGAAATTCATTACTTTCAATTACTAGTAATCGAAAAAAAAAGCTTATTTACACATTTCATTCAATTACTTGAGAAATTGTAATTAATTACGGCCTATTAAAATTAAATATTTCATTTACACCATGTCTGGTACCAAGTTAGGAATATGACAGTTGTTTTCTATATTCATTTGATGTGTTTGAGCTTTTGATTTTGCTATTTGTTAAGGAACTTTCCGTTTTGAATTTTTTTTGGAGTTCGGTATTTTTTTTATTTCACTTCATACAGCTTGGATTGTTTTCATACGAAATGGAAGCATATACCGAATTCAAACGATTCTTTTTTAGTCAATAAAAGATCAGCATTTGTATGGGTTAACAAGTCTACTACAAAACAGGATCCATGTTTGTGTATATGAATTTAACATGTTACCGCCCTGAATGTGCATGTCAAAATATTTTCTATATTTTTCGACAAAGTTCTGGAGAAAAAAAAAGCTTCCATACCGACAAACTTGTATGAAAAATTTGGCCTTGAAATGCAAAAGCTACGATTTAGCCAAAAAATTAGAATATGATTTTTTTGTTTCAAACATTAATTTATAAAAGCAGATGAATGATAATTCGCTTGTAGCAGCCGGTTCAATTTTGCCAAAATAAGCTTAAAAAACATCGCTGGCGTATTATTGTCTTGTAAGTCAACTATTCAATCTCATTTATATCCGTATTCATGCAAAGCGTTACGTTATGCTAAGTGTATTATATTATTAAAAAGAAAAGAATGTCATCGTTAAAAAGTGATACAATGTACCGGAGTCCTCTGGAAGAACCATTTCGTTGATTGTTTCGGCTCACAAAGAACCATTCTTATATATATCTAATCTATGACATGAAATTAAACAGATCTGGAAAAATCATCATCATACGATTGCACTTACTTGTTTGTCTACTAATATTTATATTTTTGATTATCAGGCCATATGACCATGGCAGTCATCGGAGGTCATCTTGATGATTAATTGAATGGCGTTTAGTTTGAAATACGCACGAAATACTGATACATTAAAACGAGCTCATTCATCTTTAATTGTTTCTTTTGGATTTATACATTTCATAATGTTAAAAATCAAATATAGCTGCAACTAACGATGAAATAGTTGATACAATCTCAAACGGTCATCATGACATGACTTTCAAATCCAGGTCAGGGATAGTAAGTTTGCCATGGCGTTGTCAGTTTTTTTTTTTTACTTATGAGTTTGAATGTCCCTTTGGTATCTTTCGCCTCTCTTCGATATTTTGAGATTTTTCACTTTAACTTACCATAAAATTTGATATCAAGTTAGAAGCACGTTTGGGTTTTTTACTCCTTTTTTTTTTTGGCTTACTTTCCTTTCCAGCTTTTAAAATTCTTGAAAAATATGTATACATGTATCATGTTTTTGACTGACGTAACAATATTCGCTTATTCGCTATCTGAATTTTATTGATTTGATTATTTATCCAAATATACATTTGGCCTTTGAAAATTTGTTTATTATATTTATTTCCTTTTGAATAATTACGTTTTACTATGCTTCATTATTTGGAATGATTATGTTAAAATTTTCTCGTTTTTGAAGAAGTAAATAGTGTTACATTACATAAGCTACGTCACTCGGCATTTGAATACACTCTTTATACCAATTTCTAGTTATTATATACAAACGTTTGATTCGATTTGAATTGAATAGAACATTGAATGGGCATTGTTCATTTCATTCAAGAAACTAAAACATCCTTTATAAGTCATATATTGTACGCCTGATCACTTGAGAACAAAATTAATAATATATTGAAATAAACTTAATAGTCAATTTATGCGTCTATTTGTAGTTTTCAGTGGTTTCAATAATAAATATTATTAAAGTAGTGAATTCACATATAATTGAATTGTTTTATATCTAGATTTTTACTTTGCTTTAATATACATTTTGTATATCATAATAATACCCCTTATCGAGCTACACTAAGTACATATATGGTTAATGCATTGACTTTTTACGTGTCCCATTCCTAACGTTGCATAGTTTGGGCCCCTTCTTTTCAAAATCCTGTATCCGCATCCGATAACTACATAACATGTAAGAATCTGTAAGTTTGATCGTCCGCACAATTTAAGAGTATAGAAAATGTGCTTCGACCAACGCTTGTACACTCCAATAAATTTACAAAAAGAAGCATACATTTCATAAATATCTTCTGTAGTACATTACGAAGATTAGAATTAATAACGATGAGTTCAAGAGAAAAAAATATGCAAACGTGATAGAAACCAAACTGATTAAACAGTTATTGAGGTTTATGTTCTTTATTATATTCTATAAATATATTGCTAACAGAAATCTTTTAAATATATTTTACTAGAAGAATCAAAATGTCTAAGGGGAGTTTAATCATATCAATAAGAATGAGTATAAAGTTATTCACTATTGTACGGTAGAATATGAATTTGTAGCGTTACTCCACACCAAAATAAACCAACTTGATCTATTTGATTTTTTATTGATTTAATATGCGTTTTAAATTCACCTGACATAAAGGGTCAAGTAAGCTTTTCTCATAACTTGGCGTTCGTTGTCCGTCGTCGCCCGTTAAATTTTACAAAAACCTTCTCTGAATTCACTGAACCAAAATAATTTGTTTTATGTCTCACCTGGATTGGGGGTTACAGGTTAAAAGTAGTATCAATCCTATAGGTTGTAGCACCAAATCCTGGTGAGATGGTTCAACCAGGGTCGTTATTGTCATCCGACTCCTTACAGGATAAGGATAATTAACGATTGTTTACCCTTTATTGCGTTTTGGACAAACTAAATAACTAAATAAGTTAAAAAAAGTAAGCAAAAGTTTTAATCCAATCGCAATGCTTGACCATTGTTACTTTTCTTTCACGATATTCTTTCTCGATATACCGTATGATAGCTGTGTGTTTGATCTCTTATGAATTAGGTTTTATGTTGCAGTCTCATTGAAATTCACACCAATATAAAAATAAGGAGATGTGGAATGATTGCCAATTAGACAACTATCCACCAGACTTTAAATACCCTTGATAAAGTCAATTATAGGCCACCGTACGGCCTTCAATAATGAGGAAAACCCACAATCTTCATTTGTTTGTGTTTGGAAACAAAAGATAAAACAATTTTCATGTGCATCGTTGATGATTGCAAATAAATCATTTATTTTATGCAAATTATTTATTCTATAGGACAAGCATGCACGGGAACGGATACTGTTGGTAGACAGAATACACAGGACAAGGACAACGATAATTATGATGGGAAAGCAGGTAAATATTTTACAATAACTGACCTGGCATGTGTGTCATAGAGCTAGTATGTTGCACAAAATTCTTTTAACATAAAAATAAGGAGATGTGGTATGATTGCAAATGAGACAACTATACACCAGAGTTCAAATGAAGTGGATGTAAGCAATTATATGCAACCGCACGCTTTTCAACAATGAGAAAAACCCATACCTTATAATCGGCTATAAAAGTTAGTTTACTTTAAAAGTCCACCACAGAACTTTCGACTTAGGCTTATGTGTATTTTCATGTTGGTGCACGTTTTAAGGTTGTAAGGTACTTATTTTTTTATAATAGATCAAATCTTCGACCATAAAGCAAATTTGCATAACCCTTTAAGCCTTTTCAGCTGTTTTACAATATAATAGAATCACTGACAAGAAGTAAATGCATATATTTCATCAAATTAGGTTTAATCTTGTAATTTTTATTGATAGTTAGTAAGATGTTTGAGTTCTGCCTAATGATATATATTCCATAAAACTGTGAATAATTTTATATTCTTAAGAACTTTTGCCGTTTCCATTCCTTAACATTTGACGGCAGTGATCTTAATTTTTCTACATAATCATTCACCGTGAAAGAAGAATCGTTTTTCCAAGCTTCCAGCTAAGAGCATTTTCGTACATCATCCATGATTGTGGAAGTGCTTAGAGAGTATTGTTGACATATACCGGTAGTACGGAATTTAGAGAGTACGACACGGTAATGTCAAGGAACTGTAAGGTCAAAGAAAGTTATAATTTGTTAATTTGTAATCAATTGTTTAGGTAAAAAATTAAAGGAAAATAAGAGACACCATTATTTTAAAAAGATTTTTACAAGAAGTTAAATACTTTAATTTTGTTTTCAAGTGAATGCTGTTCTGCTGAATGACAACAGATACCAGTTTGGTTGCTGTGGGTTTATTTCAACATGGGAAGTATTTGCCAGAAATGGGGCAGCTGTTCCAATTGACGTAAAAGTACAGGTTTGGGAAGATACAGGAACTTTGTGGAATCTTCGAGGAGAAAACACTATCACTGCAAACAGTAAGGTCATGTGTCATTTAACAGTTTTGAACTAAATCTCACTGCATTAAATTGGTGATTTTATTAAAGTATGTCTTAAGGTCTTTTTGTAATAATAATTCATTTATGAGAAGTTTATTTCTATTGTGATATTTTGTATATTTAGTGATTTTCAAAAGTACTGAATGTTACAGTTCGGTTGTAAAAACATCGGCACAAATTTATACAAATCTGCTGTGGTCATGTCTTTTTCAATCATATAAAAGGCAGACAAAACATATAATTTAATGTTTAATATAATTGACGTGCCACTTAAAATCGAAGAATAAAACATTAGTTAAATCGAACTATTATTCTTTTTTAAATCCAACTGAAAATTCCACTGTTGAAATTAACGTCATTAAATTATTAACTGTACATTTTTCTGTCAGCAATCACAACCGGGCTTGCAAGTTTTTGTGAAACAACCTTGTCTATTGGCGGTTTGAATCAGATATGGATACTTAAAAATTCCAAAGATGTGTTAGAGTAAACACAATATAAGTATCTTTTCCTCGTGCAAAGTATAAAAATATGTGACTTCTCTACCATTTGCACTAGTATTCCTCATTGTAAACTGGAAGACAGATTTAAAGAAATAGTCCATTTTCGTTTCATCAAAAAAATTGGCCATTGCAGATACAAATATTTTGTTTTAGGAATGGATAAATAAAACTTTGTTAAAAATCGACCTGAATCAGGCAATACATTTCTCGAAACTAACATCATCAAGATACTTGTTTTTTTGGTTGAAAACATCTTAATTACGAGTAGAGGACGTGTTTTTCAATAAATAAACTCACCATAGATACCATGATTAAAATTGTGTACGCCAGACGCGCGTTTCGTCTATAAAAAACTCATCAGTGACGCTGGAATCAAAAAAGTTGAACAATCCAAACAAAGTATAAAACTGAAGTCAACCCTCATTTTAATTGTCGACTTTTTCCGTTTTATATCAGGCAGACTTCATACAGGAGTATCTCTAGAAGAAGGAGAAAAGTTAGTTTTATCATTCAACCTCACGTTTTGCTATAAAGATGATGTTCTCTCACTAAATAATGCAGAGTTTGGTGACTATGTTGAATGCATCTATTCCATCGAATTTGAAATAAAAGATACCACGGACACAGTTAATAACATAAACGGTACCAATTTGTCTGCACCAGATGCGTATTTCGACAATCAATGTCTCTTCAGTGATGCTCGAGGTCAAAATATTTGAAAATCCAAAGCTTTTTAAAAACATGAAGAGCTATAAACAAAAAAGGACCAAAATGTATAGCCAAAGCTGGTCAAGGAATCAGAGCTTTGCATGAGGGAGATACATTCCTTAATTTTAAATAATTTCCAAAATTTTGTAACAGCAAATTTTAATAACATAAAATCCGTATTTTCATGCCAGTACCAAAGTACTGGCTACTGGGCTGGTGATACCCTCGGGGACTATCAGTCAACCATCAGAGGCATCGACCCAGTGGTAGTAATAACATAAACGGTACCAATTTTTCTGCACCAGATGCGCATTTCGACAATCTATGTCTCTTCAGTGATGCTCGAGGCCAAAATATTTGAAAATCCAAAGCTTTTTAATAATATGAAGAGCTATAAACAAAAAAGGACCAAAAAGTATAGCCAAAGCTGGTCAAGTAATCAGAGCTTTGTATGAGGGAGATACATTCCTTAATTTTAAATAATTAAATCTGCCTTATCTCTTGACTTACATCTAAAAATTGGCAATCAGATTCAGTTCATCACTAAGCTTTACGACAAAAGAGATGCTTTCAACTTTCCAATTGTGAACTTTCAATTTTTTATGCAGAACATACCAGCAGCGCCTGCATATGGAGTATATATCTTGCGTTTCCTATTAAGATTTCCTTGATAGAGGGTTTCTGCTTACAAGGAAGCTATAGAATCAAGAAATCCTAGTGGTAAAGTTTAGGTCATCCCTTCGAATGTTTTACGAAAGCCATCATAAATTGGTTGACCTTAATAGAACTTCTGTGTCACAGAAGACCACGAATATGTTCCAATGTCAAAGTCCGTGTTCTTTAACTCGATTGTGACACAACTGAATAAAAATCTGCTGACTCTTCCGGGTCCCTTTTGCTCAGGCTTTAATTTTTTAGTTTTTTTTGGACTGATGTTTTTCTTTTCGTTTATTTGCCATGGTACTGTTGCAGTGTGACGAAATTTTGCTTCACCGAGTCAAGAAGAATTTCTGTTTCTGTTGTCTCCTTCGTATATGCGGGTTTCAATAAATATCCATCTACGTTTTGTTAATACATTTATCTATCTATTTATTTTCAGCTGATGATGCTGAGAATGTACAAACAATAACAGCCCCCAATAGGATTCGTGCAAGAAATAATGATTACATAGGCTTGTATGTTATCCAGTTATGTAAAATGTTAGACAGATATAAATTTTAGAGTTTAAAGAGACATTAGCTACGAATAAAACAAAACAATACTATTATGTTTTATTTTGTTTCAAACATTTATCTAAGCGAAGTATAGAAATAATACTTCGCTTTTAGCAGTCAGTTTGGTTCAATTTCGTCAAAATAAGCTAAAAAAAAACATCGGTGAAGTATCATTGGTTTGCAAAGAAATAATTCAACACTTTAATCATATTCATGCAACTTTTAATTTGACCCTTAGCTGGAGATAGGTTGCGCATGTGTTTAGCATGTGGTCAACAAGTTCATTCATTAAAAAAGAATGTCAACAATGAAAAGTGAAACTAGGAAGCAACCCGGAATGACCATTTTGCTGACTCATCTGGCCCACACAAATCATTCTTATATAGGTAAAACAATGATTAACATATAGTTTAATCTCGGATATAAAATCAAACAGACCTAGACGAATTGTCATTATACGACGGTACGTGCTTTTCTGTCCATTTATACTTTTTATTTATGTTTATATTGAGTTATATGACCATGGATAATTAGATGGCGTCTAGTCTAACATACGTCATGCTGATACATTTAGACGAGTCCATGTATTATCTAAGAAATTATTCATGGCAGCCGTAGATTTGTTCTCATTTAACCATGGTAATTAGATCAAAATTACTGTATTTGTCCTGTTTGAATCGAAATTATTCATAGCAGCCGTAGATTTGTTCTCATTTAACCATGGGTTGGGCATTTATATTCATATTTTACAACTCGTTATCGCTCGGGATAAAAATAATCGAATATAAATGCCTAACCCATGGTTAAATGAGAACAAATCTACGGCTGCCATGAATAATTTCGATTCAAACAGGACAAATACGGTAATTTTGTCAACGAAAAAGATCTATACACACGATACTGTTTTGACTATTCCGTTTTACCCCAATATAATAAATTTAATAATATTATCTTATTCAAAAATAAATTAAAAACTGGCTTTTACTGTCGCAAATTAAGTTTACCTGGTCGTATAAATAAGTTAAGCGTTACGAGGAACAGCCAATTTTGTGTATAAATGCGTTTGTGCTAAAAGTAGATATACTGTGATTATACTGGTTGACGATATATAGGTCGTCATATTAGAATTGTTGTTTCTTTTGAACTTTTTGTAATTTTGATATACGTTTAAGTATGTCATAAATCAAATGTCAGAATTTGGGTAAATTGGTGAATATGAATTTAACAGCTTATGCCCTTTGAATGATCTAGTTTCGGATCAGTAAATTAATTCTCAAATCTATAATTAAATAATTAGGCTATGGTTATTACAATAAGATGAAAGTTAAAAGGAAGTAATTAAAGATGACTGGCGCCACGTAGTTTCTTACATTCAAGATAATAAGTAGAAGTAAATTTATTTTCTGCTGCCCTGTTAATTAGAAAAGAAAATTGAAATAGTGAAAAATGAGTGTTTGCTATTGGTGTAGAAGTAGCGAGAAATTTAGAGGAAACACTCTGTGATGAGCAAAATTTCATGTGCAAAATTAAGCAAGGAGTGTTCTTCATTCATAGTATTTTGAAAATTTCGGAACAATAGAGTACCCTTAAAAATACCATTGTTCTATCAAAAAAGCTGCGGCAACATATTTTTGTTTTTGCAGTATTATTCACACCCAAAGGTGTTGAAAATTCAACGGATTTTTTATAGTGAAAACGCAGAACCCAAAAAGGCTACCATTGTCGCCTATGTAAATAATTAATTCATTTTAACCTTTAAATTGTGCGACAAAGAAGAAATGTATTAATTAACACAGAGGAGAAACAAACGAGCTCCAAATAAATGATACAATTTGAGGTCGATTTTTTGTTTGCCTTATTGCAAAAGAACCTTTTCAAGTGTCAATCATGTAAAAGGACAGGTGAAAATATGTCGGGCATATCTAACTGGCGTTCTATAAATCATGTTTGGTATTGTACTTTCTATGAAATCTTTTGAAAATGAATAAGTTGAAATATGACGACAACTTACCGAATCATTTGAAGGGCCTGTTTTTGTTTTACAAATCTTCAAATATCATAACTTATTTTCTTATACAAACGTTAAAAACCCGCCCTGAATCCTTCTTTAAATTTATTTGAACTATTTACCATTCGGAATTTCCTTCTTGTTTATTAAAGCATTTGAAATTAAACCAGTGATTGTTAATGTATTTTGTACGTATTATAAATACCCTGTAGATTACTACTTATTAAAATAGGGATATTTAGTATGATTGCTAAAAAGACAACTATCCAACAGAGTCCAAATGAAGCGTATTTAACCAACTATAAGTCTAAATACGGCCTTCAACAATGAGCAAAATCCATACCGTATCATCAGCTATAAAAGGCCGCGACATGACAAAATGTGAAAAGATTCAAACAAAAAATCAACGGCTTGATTCATGATAAAACAATAAACGAAAAACAAAAATGACAGACAGCGAACAAAGAAAATCACTGAATTATAGGCTCCAGAATTATTTTCTTTTTCCTGTTTATTCTTTGCGTTTTCTTTTTTCATCCTGTAAAGAATGTGTACTGAAACTAAGGTCTGAATAATTTTCCGTCAAAACTTTTCAAAATCTTATCTGGAAACTTGAGATGCTTTTTAATTATGAATACGTACATGTACATCAGATAGTTTTTTTTTTTATATTTTTTTCTCTAATATTTCGTGTACATATGTAAAAGAGTATCATCTGTATAAAACAAATCTTTAAAATATACAAGTGTTGTCGTTCAATGAATAAATCACCAACAAACCTGATACAACATGTTTAATCACAAGTTTCACTAAAATTTTGAATCTCAACTTCACTCGTTGTAGCGTGTTCGATACGAGCGTTGGTTGTTCAACTTTCTATCACCGGTTGGGATCAAAAGACTTTAAAATTAGTATTTACTTGCACGTTAAAAAACCTGTACTCCGTTTGTCAGTCTTATGCAAAGTAGGATTTATTCATATCTCTTGTAACATGTTATGGTCCTTTACATGATAAAATATTTGCAGATGTCATCAAACCAGAATACAAATGTACGTCATCATCCTGTATCAATTACTGAACTGAAATGTTTTAAATATTTTTATAACCCAAAACAAAATAATCAGATCTAACTATCTTAATATCAATTGTAGTTATGAACCTTCTGGGTCTGTGGTCACATATGGAGGTGGAAACAGATACAAAACAGCTAACTTTGGCACAGATCAAACATCGTATGATTGGGATTCAGAAGGTCAAGGCAAGAACAGGGATCATGCAATTCATGCCATAATAGTTGAAAGTACGTTTAGTATCATATCTGCTACGTCTTCTATCAACAAATTTCGATTCAAATGACATATTTACCATTTAAGGACTGTCGAATCATTATCTACATTTGAAATGTTTAATAAAGCAGTCAAGTGTACATTATCATTATAGGAGCAACGTTTCATGCGTTTTATTTTCAAAGGTACTTGAAAATCATACATTTGTTATAAAGAGCCAGCTTTATATAGTATTGTGCAGAAAAGAATTGATCCCGAGTACATTGTACAGTGTCCTCTTAGGACTTCGTACAGTTTCATATCAAAATTATGATAAAATAGATATAAGAAGATGTGGTATGAGTGCCAATGAGACAACTCTCCATCAAAGTCAAAATTTTTAAAAGTAAACCAATATAGGTCAAAGTATGGTCTTCAACACGGAGCCTTGGCTCACACCGAACAGCAACATATAAAGGGCTCCAAAAATTACTAGTGTAGAACCATTCAAACGGGAAAACCATCTATATAAAAAACGAGAAACACTTATGAACCACATCAACAAATGACAACTACTGAACATCAGATTCCTGACTTAGGACAGGTGCAAACAATTGCAGCGGGTTTAAACGTTTTAATGGTACCAAACCTTCACCCTTATCTGGAATAATAGTGTAACATCACAACATAGAAAGACGCTCTATAAAATATCAATTGAAATGGCTTAACTCAATCAAAAGACATATTAACACCAGTGAACATACACTGAACAAATAAATTTGATCTATGATACAATGTAAATACAAAATAAATAAACTAAGGGAAGAATAATTAAAGTAACATGTTATACCGCTGTGAAATGTTGAACAATATAAGAAAAACAATATGCTTGAACAAAAATATCAGCCATAAAATGTTTATTTATTATTTAAGATTTTACTTAACAAATCAGTCTAGATCGCTTTAATTCTATTAACGGATTTCAAATAAAACTCACTATTAGACTTTTCTCTATGACCTATTATTAATGAGACGAACGAATTTCACTGAGGTTGTAGTAGTTTATATCTTTTTGCCAAATTCTGTGAGTTATTCGAAAAGTCTAAAATACTGCATTTATCATATTCAAACCTTAATATTACAAAACAGTTGATTCTATAGAAATAAATGTTTAAATGTACTGTATACAGATACCGATGATAATGCTACGACAAAGTGTAAGCTTTCTTTTGCAATGTAGCTTATTTTATATATATTACATGTATACTGAAACATTTTATTAGGTCAGACTCCAGTCTTTACGAATTTAGACGATACTGTAGCAGTCAGTAACAGTGAAGTAGCAGGGACTGTCTTGTTTACCCTTACAATCAGTGACGGAGATGCCGAGGATGATTCGACACAGTTAACTATAGCAAATACAGTCAATACGGGATCTGCTTCAACTTTGTTTGAATATGATTCTCTTACATGTATGAACATAATTTGTATGTCTTGAATTGGGTATAGAAATACGGTCATCTGGACTTCTTCAGACCAGCAGTAAAACCTGCTTCTGGTTCTAATGCAGGCCTTAGTTCTTTTGTAAGCAACGCTCTCTGCATGTTTAAAAACTCTTGCAACAACTCGGAGAAGGTCCGTAAGTGGCTTGCATTAAGGCAAAATTTCTGTCTCTATCCAACACACTCTCTTGTAAAGTGTTAATTCATTGTTTCTGACGCCTTTAATATCACAAACGATCTTCTTTACATGGATTTATTTTAACTAGTTCTTGTCCCTAATATGCATTGAATATTTGCCACTGGATACTAAGAAAAGAACAATCAATCAATATAACTTTCTTACATTTATTATTAACTCTAAATAGTACAAATCATTTGGATTGTCTAGCATGATTATAAAAAAATTAATAATCAACAAACCGAATTGAATTATATAGCTCATTTAGTCCAAAAATTATGAAAGTGTTTATATATAATATGATTTAGTTTCTTAAAGTAACGTTACCAGTAGCAAATATTTTCTTTTAACAGTAGAAATTAAAGTGAGGGCTGGTGTTACTCTGACTCCTGGAGACCACTCAATGACATTCAGTATTACAGATCCATGTGGAAAGTCTTCAACAGGAAAACTGACTTTACGGGTAGAAAATGATGTAAGTATAGACCTGTTCAGATCAAAATGCATGGACGCGACGGCCATTTTTGTCTTTCGAGTTTTTCTCGAAATTACCACGTCGTTCTGAATTTACGGATACAAAATTTTGTATAAATGTATAATTTACAACAGCAATCGTAATAATAATAATAGTACGCAAATGCAATTATAAACTTTAATATTAAAACAAGTTGCTTTCTTTAAAAAAGAAAAGCTATACCTGAACCCTAGACCGCTGACTGGTCACCAAAACATTGTTGTTGATTTTCTTTTGCTTTTGTTTGAAATAATTGTCTGTGAAAAGAATAAGGTAATGATGATGTTAAAACACCTTTATTGAAAATATGTAATTGTGTAGATTCTTGCACAAGTCAATTAAAAACAATGTTGGATTTTAGTTGTAAATAGAAAAGTGATTACAGCTACTGTTTGAATTAACCTTTTAAGGCTTGACTATTTTATTTTAGTGTACATAATTTTTTCTTCGTGTTTAATATACAAATTCCTTATCCTACTGCAATTCCCAGATTCTGCAAACCGGATGTCAAAAGCAAATTACATAGACGTATCGCAGTATAAGTTTAAGGACTCAGTTTGCTTTATAATCTGGATGCATTTATTTTATCTTTCATATTTTGTTTTTTGGTTGCCTTCAACTATTCTTATACTCAGTATTGAAGCTGTCAGTACTCTTTGTAGATGTGGTATAGAGAAATTTTAAGTCCAATTTCCATGTGAAGTGAAACTCTGTAGCAACTGTATTATATGAAGGTTTCGTATTTTGTTCTTGGGCGCTTCATTCGGACCTCTTATATACTGACAAGTCTATTGGTCGCATAAAACATCTCACATTTTAAGGATTTCCTGAAGTTACTTAAATAAATCCAAACATTCAACATGAAAAACTAAGTTTTTTTGAAGAATATCTTATTTTCAGAAGTTTTTCAAAAGAACATTTTTTTATATTAAAAGATATGTAAGATAAAAATAGATACCAGGATTAAAATGCACGCACGTTTCAATTACAAGACACATAAGTGACGCCAAATAAAGTACGAAATTGAAGAATATTGAGGACCCAACATTTCGAAATAAAGGTTTTGCCAAATACATCTATAAGAGGTGATCTTTTCCTAGGGCAGGAAATCCTTGGTATTTCGAAAATTTTAAAGTTTATAATAGGACAGTCACTCAAAAAAAAAAGAAAAAGAAAAGAAAAACAGCTAGAGGTCAGAACACCTGAAGTAATGATGATCATGCTTCAAAGGCACATGTCAAGCTCGTTGTGCCGTGTCCTGAATCTAGATAAGAAATGCGAAAATTTATATTCCGCGAGGGAAATTAACATTTATGCATGCACATGATCTTCTTCCACAAAAAAAATAGTAGGTGGAAAGCATACACACTGATACTCTGGATTAGAATACGCATTTGCGTCATCAGGTATATCTATTCTAGGCTCAAATCTAAAGTTAGTGAATTCAGATGTCAAACTACCTACCTCAGTATTCAATGTCATTTAATCCGGAATTTGTGTGAACGCAAACCGATGTTGTGTCGTGTGAATAGGGTGTAATATAATGTAAACAAATCAAGACGTGAGTAGGAAAGCTGGTCAACACAATGAATACAATTTTCAAAATCGCACCATATTGCAAAGATTTAAATGCTATAAGATCAAACTATTAAAAATAATTAATTAACATATACGTTCCTGTTAATGAATTTTGCCCGAAAATTTAAAATATAATATCAAAAACAATAAAACAAACGTTAAGTATTAACTGATGGACATTTTATTTATTAAATCTCCAAGTCTAACTTTTCGTTTTATGAATATTGATATACAAAATATAAGCAGAGACTTATAAAACCATACTAAAACGGTATAAAATAATTAACGTTGTAATCAAATGATTATTGTAAAATATTAATAACGTTTTTTGTAAGATGCAAGGATTTAAAATCCTTGCGAATTGAAACAATGCAAGTGTTTTTGTTTTCATTCATTACAGTTTAAATTTTAGGTACTAACTTATGTGTACGCATCCCTGCTCATATGTTGCATATGATTTTCATAAATGTTTTCACTGTTCAATCCAGCGGGTTATTATATTAGCAATATAACATTATTAATTATATTCTATTAATGATATATTTAGTCTCAGTTCAAACATTTATGGAATTTTATGCGACTGTCATACAAGTGAGAGGTTTAGCTAGCTATAAAGCCAGGTTTAATCCACCATTTTCTACATAAGAAAATGCCTGCACCAAGTCAGGAATATGACAGTTGTTATCCATTCGTTTGATCTGTTTGATCTTTTGATTTTGTCATTTGATTGGGGACTTTCCGTTTAGAATTTTCCTCGGAGTTCAGTATTTTTTGTTATTTTACTTTTTAATGATTTTAATGAATATTCTCTTTGTCTGTTAGTAATTATTAATGAAATTAAATATTTTTGACAGAAATATCGTTTTGTTTTTTTCTGGGATATAATATTTTTGTATACTATGTCCGTGTGTATTGTCACAATGCACAATGCACTATAGCACGTTGTATTAAATACTATACACAAAACGCGTATAGATGCCGTCTCAAAACATGAATTATATAATTGCGTTATTATTATACTTGATATTTAATAAACATTCGCATTATCAAAAACGCATATGTTCTGTCAAAAAGACAAATGGTTTTAAATACATAAATGATTTTTTACTGCAATTTAGTTTTTATTTTTTTACTTTCCGATCTAAAATGAACTTTGATTGGTGAAATATACATTGTCACGTGGTAGCCTATTCATATAGGGATAGTATTAAAGACATTGATAACTACCTGTATAAAGGAGCGAAAATTTTCGAGACGTTCCGATAATCTTTTATTCGAGGATATCTGAATGTCCCATAGAAGCTTCCAAAAATCACCAATATAGTCGTGAAGTTTTGATATGCAATTTCAAATGCATTTGATTCCAATGTCATCTATACCGGAATACTAAGTTGTACATGTATATGCAATGAATAATATAATTTATGATATATGTTTTAGCAATCCAATTCTCTAAGTATGACCCCTTTAGTACTTTCATCGACGTTTGATATTTCTTACAATAAAAAAAATGAAAACAACACGTTATAAATTTTATGCGTCTGAAGTGCGTTTCTGGATTTCAACGTGTGGTGTGCCTCATCTCAGTTTTTCATTGGTGAAAATTCTATGGTGACGTCAAATTATCTTGCCTTCCTCTGATTTAGGCTTTGTGTCGTAAAAAAAGAGGAGACCATTCCTGATGAAGTCACATAGAAAGAACACGATGTTTTTGCGGAACATCGAAAAAGAAAACCAAATCTTGCCTACACATCGTCTAAAATCATCAGAGAAAAAGATTCCACCACCGCATCTCATGCGATACAATATTACTGCATTATCAAATTGACGAATGCAACTAAATTTGACGTCTAAACAAAATTTTGACAAGTGAAGAACTAAAATAAAGTGTATCGCACGCTCATTACAAATAAATATCAAAAACAAAAGAAAGTACAAATCTGATACGAATCGTCTGTATAGTTATATCTGAAAACTTTTCGACAGTGAATAAGTATCGATAAGCTTTTCTAAATATTCATTTTCAAAAGTGGAAAGCTATCACAATACCCAATGAACAATGGAATGCATCACTTCATATATCCAATATTGCAGCCACCCGTGATAACGAGTCTAGCTACAAGTAATAATATAAGTATATCTGAGGATCTGACAACAGAGACCTTACTACATACTCTCGTAGTCACTGAAGCGGATCCTTTCACATGTCAGATAGATTCTACTGGAGTTCCATTTGTCATCAAAACTATATCTGGATCTTCGAGTGAGTAACAAATTATTACTAAACGAAGATATTGATTTGTAGCAATTTATACACTGAGTTCAAAATTAAAATAAGGAGATGTGATATGAATGCCAATGAGACAACTATCCACTCAAGTTCAAATAAAGTGGGTGTAAGCAATTAAAGGCAACCCTACGGGCTTCAACAATGAGAAAACCATGCATATAGTCGGCTATAAAAGGCCCCGACATGAAAAATATTAAACAATTCATTTGAGAAAACTAACGGCCTAATTTATAACAAAATCAAGTGTGTGAGAGAGAAGCCAGCTAACAAAACTACAAAACAAATGCTACAAAACAAATGCTCGTTAGTCATGAACATTTCAGTATAAATGTACTTATTGAGCGCAATAAAATGTACCACTTACACGAAACAAGGAAATAAAACCAGCACATAGTTTGGAAAGCTGGAGCAAAGTATATTCGCTACTCTTGGAGCTAGCTAAGGTACCAAAAGTTGTTAATTGTATATTGCCGATCAGTAAAAGAAATAAAAGCAACCCTAACACCCTAACAGGTTTCATGAAATTTAATTGCAATTGGCAGTATTTGTTAGAGGTCACTAAAGATTCAAAATTGCCAGAATATGGGGGAACAGCACTTTGCCTAAACTGTTTGGTAAATCATTCCAGTAACCCGTGCTATTGAAAGATATATAAGAACCATCCCGAGGATATATGTATCATTTTGCAATTTTTTTTATCTATTTACGACATAACAAAAGACGGTATATTGAGAAATACTCTCTAGTGTTATTATCTACTAAAAACATTATATGTACAGATCAGATGTTAATCACAATTGCAAATATATTTGAATGTATTCAAAATTTCATTTTGTGTGTAACCCGGTTAAAGTAAAGTAAATCTTGTGCTCATGATGTCCGCTTCATCCAGATGCTATATTAGAACACAAGGACATGTTTTACGTCTAAATCTCTGATTTAATTTTCTTGCTGGATTATTAATTATTCAACTCAGTGTTTTCCTTTTTGTTATAAAACACATGTACATCTTTTTGGGTCATCACAGCATAATTTTATCTTTTTTCTAAACTACATCCAAGCGCACAGACAATACCATTAACGTTGGTGATTTGTGCTATATTTTTTTTTTTAATTCAAAATATTTAATATTCATAGCAATTCATAGTTAAAAGATTTACATTTTTAGACTATGGAATTTTCCTATCAGCCGGTGCATCCATGGATTACGACACACAAAATGCATACGTTTTAGATTTATCGTGTACTGATACTTATGATGTCACACCTGGAATATTTACAGTCTTTCTGATTAGGAATAATGTAAGAAAATGAGCATATTTATATTATGAGGCAGGTGTTACATGTGAAAGATGACGAAGTCTGTAAACTATAAAGTATCGCCAATATTCTTTTTGCAGATCAGGATACTAATTTTTGGGAAATGGTATCCACCTTTCTGATGATTTAAGAAAAGTGTCGAAAAATGTAGCGAAAACCGATATATATATTACCGCTCAAAAGAGAAAACAGTAAATAGAAAGAAAACAATTTTGATTCATTAGTATTCAGTAATGAGGAAATCGTCCACTATTGAAATTTTTTGAAAACTTTACTAAGTAGGACTTTTCATTAATCGGGTAAAAGGCTGAGTTGAATCCAACATATGGCTAACATGCCCCCATAAAGGTGAACAGATAAGACAATGAGAACCATGAAACTAAAACATTCAATCATGTCTGTGATGTACCAAACTTTCACCCAAAACATCGAGCTACAAATGTAGCATGATCTGAACTGCAATCAAACATTATCACATCGACGTTTGTTTTCTATCCGTCCTTCCCTGGTCAGTCGTAGGTCCGTTTTATGTACCTTTTTGAGTTTCAAACAAAGATGAAGAACTTTGATCTTCTTTATTTCTATTGGATACCCAAATTTCATTATTATTCTTGCAGATGTAATGGGAGTAATTGGTCAAGCTCCCGTTTTCCATATTCCCTAGTTCAAGTATGAAATGCGATTCGTTACAGTTTAGAAATGTTTATTGCATTCTAAATGTCTTCATATTCCAAAAGAGTAAAAATGCTAGGTTATAAAAGCCAACATCGTCGCCTTCTTTCAAAAGCCAAACAGGTCCACACCTGAAAAAGCAAAGATATTTATATTTACAATGACGTCATAGCTCCAGCTGAGCTAACGGGTCACAAACAATAAGTATTTTAAAGCATCTTTCAAGCGAACTGTTTCCAAATTACTAATTTCTGTTCCATCAGAAGTGAGAATCGGACTTCATAGTAACTGTTAGGAGGGATGAACCAATTGTAACAGTTAGTCAACGCAAATTCATAAAATTATAAAACAAAATAAACGTAGACAACGAAACTTTTATGTAATTTCGGTTTTACAAAACAAATATTAAAAGGCATTACAAGTTATACAAAACAAATATTAAAAGGCATTACAAGTTATCACACCTTATCCGCGAAAATTGGGAAGTAATCGAAAAACATCTTAAAATATCCAAGATCTTCCCCGAGCCATCTGTACTGGCTTTCCGTAGGCCCAAACGCCTTTAAGACTTGCTGGTGAGAGCTGATTCATCGTCTAAATCAAGCTCTTCATCTGTGGGGTCTTGCAAGCCTTGTGGGAACAAACGATATCTGAGCTGTAAGCAAATACTGAATACCTAGACTTTTAACAGTCATTCCATAGGTACGGAATACACCATAATTTGCAATGTGAATTTGCGAGACTACAAACGCTGTGTATCTTCTACAGTGTAAATGTGGTAATCAGTATATTGGTGAGTCAGAACAGCCATTTCACAAACGTATGAACGGTCATCGTAGTGACTATGAATGTAATCCAGACCTTCCTCTTAATCGACATTTGAGATCTCCTGACCATACTAAGGCAGATCTCAATCGACTGACTATTACCATCATAGACCAAAACACTGCTTGGTCTAGGGAGGAGAGAATCACTCGAAAAAGATTTTGGATAAGAAAATTAAAAACGTTGGCACCAAATGGAATCAATGAAAAGGTGTAGTTGTAATCGCGCAGTTCTGTTCATTTGGGTTGTATAACCAAGCAGTCTCTGTTGTAATTCCTTTACCTTCGTCAACTCTGAAATTCTATATTCATACCAGTTCAAACCGCACAGTGCTATCCATTTTGGATGTATAAATATGCAGCCGCTGTTGTAATTACTTAACTCTCGTCAACTTTGAAAAATTTAGAATTAAACCAGTTCGAATCAAACAGTACGTTTCAATAGGGATGTATATATACGCAGTCTCTGTTGTAATAACTTCACTTTCGTCACCTTCAATTTCGTGAAATTTAGAATTGTACCAGCTCATATAGCACATTACTATTGTTTTGGGATGCACATCTATGCAGTATCTGTTGCAAATACTTAACCTGCGTCATCTTTGAAATTTTAGAATTGTACAAGCGTTGTTAGGTTTTTAATTTGTAATACATTAAAGATTGTTTTAGTTAAATCAGAATAGATTGATACGATTCATTCAACATCATCATTCTTATCATACCGATGAAGCATATCTGTTATCCGAAATATTCATAGATACTTATAATTATTGTTTCCTTTTTGTAATATGCGTTATCTGTTGTGCGTTGAAGTTGACTACTGCAATTGTAAGTATGACTGAAAGTAAGGGTTAGAAACGGAGTACGGATTTCCCCCCACATTTCTACGCGATGAGTATTTAGCCCGACTTTAATCAAAGATCTAATTGACACAGTTTCATCGATTAAATATTTGACTAAATATGTGGTTTTGTTAGATTTTAAGGATTTGTGATATATTCAGTATAGTTTATAATTTTGGTTTAGCCGCCTGTTATAAATGGACTACCTTTGGCAATAGATGTACAAGAGGACAGTGTTGTGGAAACTACTCTTTACACCATGTCTGTTACAGATCCAGAAAACACTGCTGTAACCTGTTCTATTCCTACAGTTACACCATCAACAACTATACTTTTTCATAAGCCGTCTGCAAATTTTAACGGTCAGTACTCTAAAAATAGAAATTTACAAAGTTACAAAACCGGAATTACAATTCGAAACATGAATGTCAATAATATATGCATAAATTGGCCACTTTTTTAAATAAAAATCTCACAAGACATTCCTCTCTAGAACAATAAATTATTGACTGATAAAGCCTGATCGTGACTTCTAAGGGCAATTTCTAATGAAAGTGATAGATTTATGTGTCATGTCTCCTTTGACACCATTGCACTCTCCATAAATACTTGATTTGTTCCTCTAAAAAAAAAAATTTCAATAAAATTACTGTCCAAGTAGCAGATGGTATTTTTGCACATGCAACACCTTAAATTATATACATATCAGACACTGCATGTTACACATGAAATGTATTTCCTAGTAACCGTTGTTATTCGTCGATTTGACTATCACAATTTGTTTTCTGGTAACGGAGCAGAATAATTGATATCTTAAGATCGATTTAGTTAAATACAGCCCATTTATTGCAATTCAATAGCTAAGATTCAGTTTTGTCTGGTGTAATTATTTGTTTTAGTTTAACAGAATCGTCGTATACAATTTTGCATGACGCCCTGACAGCCACATAAAAATGTTTAATTGAGAGAATTGGTTGATTAATTGTTGTTTGCTTAACGGCCAGTTGCAAATATTTCATGAATGTTCACAATGAGATCAAATTAACAATTAAAACAATACGCGATGAGAGTATATTGGACAGGGACAGTAATTTCGCCTTTCAACAGGCAACATACGGATCCCTCAAAGAGAAGTTGCAATTCTGCAATTTAAACTATTGTATTATAATTTCGTATGTATTAATCACTGAGATGATTTCTGAACGTAAAATAAATGATTGTTTTCTTTCAGAATTTGACATTGTTTTGCAGTCGAATCCTAACCTTCAGTATGATTTAGTACGAACCTACCGACTTGATATAACGTGTACAGACGGTAGACGGAGCGACTCTGGTATCTTCTTTATGAATGTTCTTCGAAACAAACCCACAGTATTTTTAAATCTGCAGAGTAAGTTGCCAACAATAGCAGAAATACAGATTAATGAATCCTGTTCTGTTAAGACCCTTTGTTTTATATATGATATCCAACGTTTTAAAGTTTTACCGTGCCGTGGTCCATGGCATGCCTGGTGAGGGTTACCAAACGTGCCTTGGTCCATGTGGTTCAACTGAATAAATAAGAAATAACAAAATTTATAAAGTGTTGTTTGATCTGCTAAGAACATATTACCATTACAAGGCAAATATTTCAGTTAACCTGTAAATGACAATAGTTTTGACAAAACTATTATTTTCTCAATCATTTTTATCATTAAAAACTGAAGATGGTAAATTATATATTTGATGAAAAGTATATTAATTTGAGCTTATTTTTATTAAGGGCATTTGTAGTAAAAATCAAGAAAGTAAATACTAAGTCTTACTCAAATGTGTCAAACCAACTTTCTACAAGTGTTATTCTAGACAACATGTTTGTGTTTTCCATGATCCTCAAATACTGTTTGTTTAATTTTCAGACACAACCACAGTGTCCAGCATTTCATCATATATTGGACAAATAGTGTTTGATGTAGAAGTAACTGATCCAGAGAATGACCAAGTTCAGTTTTCCATGTCATGTGTACCGTCTATTAATTCTCCGTTTGAAATATATCACTGTATGTACCATTTTCTTTTTATAACACGGGATGTGATTAAACTATGATTTGCTTTCCTTACATGAACAACTTTTTGACCTTTAAGTTACTTTATTGCCGACGTAAAACACATATCACACATAAGAAGCATCGAAACCTTCAATATTATATGTCAGTATAACTAGTTTGTGTCGCTCAATCTATAGTTTCTGTGCAGTATAATGTGGTCTGCTGTTTTAGGTGTATATCAATGAGAAAACAACATAACAACACGAAAAATATTCAATTGATAAAAAAAAACACAGATGTAAAGCGATCAACATTCGCTCTTCAACAATATGCAAGCATTTCTTTTACGCGTAAAAAATGAGAAATTTGCGTAATGTTTAGTTTTCCAAAATATTGGGTTTGACAATGCTCCAGTATGGCCGACTTTTTCTAGCTAAATTTCAAACTAAATTTTAACAAGGTATCATATTCAAAACAGTGAATAGATAGGTTAGAGATCATCTTTAGCAAATTTACGTTTCAACGTTCATTTAAGACGTCAAAATTAGTGAAAAGTTTTTTGAGTAACAGGAAACATATAGCGTATGCGTCCACAATAAACATGTCGTAATTCTATGTTTGTTTTTAAAAAAATAACCTCTCCGCCTTGAATATTTGGTTTGTCGAGTCCTGCGCCCTATATTTCCAAGGCCTAAATTTGTTCAAATCCAGAAGAATCTCTATATTAACACTTAATTTCGAAAAAATAGTTCTTTGTCACTTTCTTTAGGACATGTTTATGCATTAATTTGAAAAACTTGTCATAATGAATAATTGGGGACCAAATAAGGCATAAGTGCACCTATTCCTTAAAAAAAATAACTTCAATCTTGGTTTATAATTCAGATCTTTCAGCAATTTAACCCCAATTGATAATATCATTATTAATACCAGTTGTTTTTTATATGAGCAAATATTATTATAATAGCTTTAAAGTACATGTAGTTTTATAGGTTCAGTACATTGAAACTTTTATTTTGGCCTGAACCACATTTATCTATTAATAAGTTAATTACTTTTGTATTTGTCAACTATATTATAACTAAATAAAGGCAACAGTAGTATACCGCTGTTCGAAACTCATAAATCGATAGAGATAAAAAAAAATCCGGGTTACAAACTAAAACTGAGGGAAACGCATCAAATATAAGAGGAGAACAACGACACAACAAAAACACAACATTTAAATGTAACACACACAGAAACGAACTATAATATAACAATGGCCATTTTCCTGACTTGGTACAGGACATTTTAAGAAAAAAATGGTGGGTTGAACCTGGTTTTGTAGCATGCCAAACCTCCCGCTTTTATGGCAACGTCAAACATAACACCAAAACGACAACATCACATGACAGGACCACAATACAAATAAATGGGAGAACATATAGGACAAAGAAACACACGAATAATAGCTAACAAAAGGTACTAGGCTTAAAATTAAATACGCCAGACGTGCGTCTCGTCCACACAAGACCAACCAGTGACGCTCAGAGATGAAAAAAGTTTGAAAGCCAAAACAAGTACAAAGCTGAAGAGCACGAGGACCAAAACTTCCAAAAAGTTGCGCCTAACACGGCAAGGGTTTTCTGCCTGGGACAAGAACATCCTTATTATTTAGAATAATTTATAATTTTGCAAACAGTAAATTTTATAAAATTACTATATAATAGATATACATGATGAAACCGAAGTGGGGACTAACTACAGAATAAAAACGGATACATTACATAAAACAACTTAATCCAATACATAAAAAATACACAACCGAGTTAGCCAAAGCCTCAACGCACAAAGTGACGTCACATTTGAAATTCTAAAAAAACACACAAAGTGACGTCACATTTGAATTTGTAAAAATATTTCCCAAAAATAAGATAGGATTAGGATTGATTCAAGATTAGATTTGTAATACTGACATTACATTTATTAATAACAATGAACATTACAATACATATTTATATCAAATTGTGGTAGTAATTAGATAATTAATTGTATTATCTAGCTATGTCGGTGTTTCTTCTGAATCAAACTGTAAACCAAATATATCGTATGAATTTCGTTAAACCAAACTAAAATCTAATAAATGAAGGGGGTGATTAATTATCTTAACCATAACACACGAATATAACAGAAAAGACGTTAAGACATTTGACAAAATCATAACGAGAATAAAAAATATAACATTAAAATTAAATACATGAATTTGGGATAGAAAAGTACCGTGACACGTCTTATAGCAATGCGGTTTCACACTCAGCAAAACAGTCACAATCGTATTAAAAACCGTTTAAGAATCACACAAAATATGATTTATATGTCGAAAACTTACAAATGAAATTATTTGATATCTTATTTAGTACATAAAAATAACTTGAAATTTATGCGTACTTTTTCCTATAAATACTTACCAGGTAAGCAGTGCATTCTGTAGAACTCACGATGAGGGAAATGATTTCCATAATATTCCATAGAATCCATTGTAAATGCCAATGATCTGTCTTGCTGTGGTAATATATGAAAAATATTTCTACGTCCATATTGTAACTGATTGACAAAAATAATGATTTGCTATTAAGATCTATTAAAGCTGTAAACCACGTATTATTTTGATTAACATATCTATAGATATTTTGATATTAAAACTGCTTTATCACGAAAGTATCAGAAGAACACATGCTCATCATAGTCCCAACATTAAGTAATTTTGTCAAGTTACAAATGGATGGCGAGTAATATTTTCTCATTTTATTTTAAGTTTCCTAGAAGACTGGGAATATTTCCTAAAATTTATTAGTAATTGACCAACTAGCAACTTGCTCAAAATATAATAAACAAAATGCAATCCAATGCAAAGACTATTTCTTCATTGCAGCTGGTGAAATACTGCTAAAAAGGTCAATTGAAGGGGAATTCGTACCAGCCTATGATTGTTATGTTGAAGTTAGCGACGGACAAACAACAACAGGTCCTAGGTCATTGACAATTCATGTTTTAGGTAATATATTAAAATGCTGACAATAATTCTCGACATAAACATTAAATATTTTCAAAGGTTTCATATTATTTTTGTTCTAAAACATTGATTAATTAATGTAGAATAACACGTTTGGGAATAGTAAGTTGATTCCTGTGAAAACGACAGAAATCGTTTGGTTTCATATTTTTTAAATATAAAACAAGATTTTCTTAAAAATAACCAATACTAATACAAGAAAACCTAGAGCTTTCATTGAAAGGTGTTGAAAAACAACAATATATATATTTATGTATAGAATAATATATTTTTAAAATGATTGACTGATTGTTTCTGTTTGTTTTCTGTCCAGTGGCAAATATGTGAAAATACTCAATAAAATACGGCCAACATGTATAACACTTTTTGTGAAGAAGATCCCACTTTCTATTATTTTCTATATACTGACCTTTATCTGGTTTAAATGAAATACTATATATTTTGTTTTCACACTTGCCTTTCATTAATGAAGTTGTTTATACTGAAATTAGTTTCATTGCACTAAAAAATTTGACAAGCGTTCTTCGAGTGGGGTTGTAGAGTTAAACAAATACGCAATGTAAAGGGATAACCCATTTTGGTAAAATTTCCACATGAGATATCCATGGAAATAAATTATTTCAATATTATTCAGATATACATGAAATTAATTTACTCCAGTATTTACCAGATATCCACGAGACAATAGAATGTCCCTATATTCGAGTTTATCCTTATCAATTTAATGCAAAACGGAACATGCCTTTATTACTTGAAATCCCTGTAATATCATGGAATAAAATAAATTAAATGAATATAAGGTACATATATAAATATATTATAAATGCCATTTAACACACATGTAAATGTGACATAATTGAGTTTTTTAAGCTTCAGTGGTCTCTAGGTAGCGTGCAATTCTCGACTGTAGGAACTTATGGATTGTTCTTACCAAAATACAATAAACATGGTTTGCTGCTTCTACAGAGATACCGTATTTTGGTGTCTCCAAGGAGCCAGAATAATGTGTGAGATAATATTGATATGTCATTCTGAAGTTACCTTGTGGGCTTGCACGTTAAAAGGTTCGACTAAGCATGTTGGCCTTAAAATAAAACAGTGTACTGATCATATCGCCTAAATACAAACTTCAATGTCACTGGACGTTAGGCATCCGTAAATCTATGTATTAGAAGAACACATGCCTAAATTTCTTTTTTGTTTCAGATATAAATTATGTTCCTGTTATAAGGAACCTTCCTCTTCCTTCACCTTTAGTAGTGTCTGAAAATTCGGCCCTTGCCATGAGTGTATTCCAAGTATCCATACAAGACAACGACGGAGCGGATACTCATACCTATACTATGACATCATCACCACCTGATGGCATTTTGTATTTTGATATTGATTCTACAAGCAAGTATTTTGGTTTTTTATACTAATAAAAGGAGGTATAAAAGCTGCAAATCATTTAGCCATTTAATGTACTGTTTTCTTTTGATTAAAATCCAAATAAAAACAATCTTCTATACTTTTTTATCATCTGCTCGACAGTGATGAGATGTATGTGTGTTCTGTCAAAAACCTACTTCCTGTTGACCGATTCATTTAATTTTTCATTACGTTTAATGAAAACAAATATTTTTGTCACACCTTTTTCAGGAACTCTTGTGATGTGAAGTAACATGACCGACATGGTTAGAAAAGACAAATAATTACACAATTTTAAATTAATTTTCTTGTAATGGTTAGAAAATACATAAAATAACACCATTACAAACTCAATCCCAATTTTATATTCTATTTTTAGAAATTTACCTGTGACGTCACTTTTTGTGGCGTTTGATACATTCGTGTGATGCGCAGTTCATAATTCTATTGTGGTGTAAATGGGAGGTGTCCGTTCTGTGGTTTACATGTTGTAATGTACTATTATATTATTTATTTATGTATGTCTCTGTCCTGAGTGTTCTTGCGTTTAGTTGTAATGTATTCCTGTCACGTAATGTTGTCATTTTAGCGGTATTTTTAATATTGTCATATAAGCGGGAGGTTTGGCTAGCCATAAAACCAGGTCCAACCCACCATTTTTCTTAAAATGTCCTGTACCAAGTCAGGAATATGGTAGCTGTTATCAAATATTCCGTTTCTATGTATGTTGTCGTTTGTTTTTGTTTATGGTGTTACGTTTTGTTTCCTCTTATAGTTGATGTGTTTCCCTCGGTTTTGGTTTGTGACCCGGATTTGTTTCAGTTAATCGATTTATGAATATTAAACAGCGGTATACTACTGTTGCCTTTATTTATGATCTGTCAAACACTTTCTTCTTGTTTTAAGATCTACCAGACACTTTTTTCCTGGTTTAAGATACTTTGCATTACCACTTGGGGTATGCTTAGCAAGACAACTTTTTTTTTACGCCTTGAAAGTCACAATAACGATCGTCCTAAATAAGCATAAAATAATTGCCACTAGACGTTAAGTTTACAATAATCAATCAATAATAATTGCGGCCACAAGGGAGGTAGCTCATCAAATATAATAAAGTAATAATACCGACCCTATTAATGACTATTAATGACTTATTACTGACATTTTCTCAATACGATACCAAACTTATCGAATATTCCAGACAAAGATAATCGTAATACATATTATCAAGGACAATGCTATGCTCTGATATTGTGACGAAGATATATTTCATATATGTATATATCTAATCGAATATGTCAGTTAGATTAAAGCTATAGAAACTCCTTGTAAGTCTTCTACTTACATAGCACGCTTCTCACAAGGTATACAATGTTTAACAGTGATATCATATGTTCTGTTATAGCTGGACTTGTGAGTACATCTGCAACAACAATAGTTGATTTTGAGGCCGTATCATCAAAAGATTATACGTTAACAATAACAGTCACCGACACGAAAGATTCTGTTACACAGAATCTATCTCTTACCGTTGCCGATGTTAACGAACCTCCAGTGTATACAAAGAGGTCTTATGTACTAGGTGTTAACGAAGGTTCGGTATGTACTATAATGTGGAGAAAAAAAAAATTGTGTTGTATAGCTTCGATTTCGTTAGTCATTTTTTAACCATTTCTATTATTTAATAATTCGCTGGAGACCTATAATGATAACTAGCTTCCAGGGAAAACAAAATAAAACTTTTTCATCATTTGAATTTATTGTTTTACATCTAATTCTATTTTGTTTGGTAAATGAGTTGTGCTTCAAAACCTGAATACATTTTACATTGTAACCTTTGGTATTTTTCGAAAATTTTATTGTCCAAATCTTTCCAAATTTCTTGGAACATATGGCAAGTTTAAGTTAATCATTACGCGAGTTTCATTATTATTTCATTGTAAGCAATGACTCTAAGACATTGTTTGTATTGACCCAAATACTATGATTTCCATTTAGGAGATATTCCAATCGTAAAGTAAAAAAAAAACAACATGATTATCTTCGCTGTATACCATATCTTAATATAATCAACGGACTTGTGCTCGATGAATCGAATGTTTGGTGTCATATGAAGGTTGTGTGCTATGTTGGTGATATACAATATAACATGTTATTCATGTTGGTTTACAATATAGACCATCCTTGAAAATTGGAAATTTATACAGCATATGACATCGTTAATAATTGACTGAATTATTTTTAGTTTGAAGCTTCAATTCAGTGATTTCATCCTCATGCACAAATCATTAAGGTATCTTGAAACTCCGATTCGATGGATGACAAATAAATCTTATTTCATATCAGAGTATTGTGAACTCAAAAAAAAGGTAAGGAAAATGAGTCGCTCTCCATTGTTGAATAGTTTTAAGTTTTCCATCATTAAAACAGACATAGAAAAATGAATTCTGCCCGGAATACAAAGTAAACGTAACGCTTAATCAAAATGAAAATCAAAATACTAGAAGAATGAAAATAAACTGAAAGAAAAAAGAGAAGTAATATAAATTCGATTGTCAGAATAGATTTTAAAAGTATGTTAATGTGACTTAAGTGCAAGATAAGTTTGTAAACTCCTAAACAAAATTATTGTCCCTTTTATAATAATAATAATAATAATAATAATAATAATAATAATAATAATAATAATATTTCAAATGTGAATGAGACTCATTTCCAACCAAAAATACGTATAAGGTTATATGCGAAAATGTCATATAAATTGTTTTGCTTGTTTATAATAAATAATTTACCCATTCTATATCCATTCTTTTTACATGGTTTGGTCCATTAAACAGGAACCAGTCTTATTTTCTAAAGACTTCTGAATATTTTATTTAGTTTTATATTGATTCTAATTTTCTTTGAATTTTTAAAGGCTGGTACCATTCTGCCTGATCCTGGATATTTGTATACAGATGAGGATACAGGCGACACACATAAGTTTTCTATGGCTTGTGGGTCAAACGTTGGATATTTTTCTATCTCTTCAACCACAGGATTTATAACTCTCGCTACAGATATTAATGTTGATGCAGCAGGTTCTGCTACTTCCTATACCTGTGGAGTGACAGTATCAGACGGTGTCTTATCTGATAGCGCCACTTTAACAATCAATGTAAAAAATATAAACGACAACACTCCAGTATTTTCCAACAATTTATTCACTTACTATTTGGACAGTAATTATCCTTTGAACACTGTTTTTGGTTCTGCTGTCGCCACTGATGCCGATGCTGGAGCGTTTGGTATGTATATGAATAAAGAAATAACAGCGTGTCTTTACGCTTAAGGTTATACAAAGGTCTCAAAAAGTATAGTAACAAACATATCGAACTCAAAGAAAAATTCAAAACGGAAAGTCCCTTTTCAAATGGCAAAATCAAACGCTCAAACACATCAAACGAATGGAAAACAACTGTCATATTCCTGACTTTCTAACAGGCATTTCCTTATGTAGAAAATGAAGGATTAAACCTGGTTTTATAGTTAGCTAAACTTCTCACTTGTATGACAGTCGCATAGAATTCCATTATATTGACAACAATGTGTGAGCAAAACAAAATGTCAAAAATTAACGTTTGATAGGATAATACAACGAAAATGTAATTAAAATAACACGTGAAGAGCAATATTACCAAATTCGTCTAAGGTCAATATTTAATTATGACTAGAAAGAAAATTAAGTAATGATAAAATAATAAAATAAAATACGAAAGGATAAATATTTTTAGTCATTTTAATAAATAGAATGAATCAAAAAAAAAAAAAATCGTATCGTACTTATTGTTTTATGACATGACATAGTGGATGTATACATTTACAGAACAAATAAATTTTAAGTAATTTGAGTTATCTTTCCTTTCAAGTCGAAACGATGTTCTTTAATTGTAAAACCAAAGTCAGTCTGTCAGATATCAAAATTCTAATTTTCTAATTTGTCTTAATTATTTGCAGTAGGGCTTTATATTTCTTGCTTTAAGTGCAAAACTGGAAAAACTGCCGAAATAACCATAATTTGATATCTTGTCGTTTATATTTAGATACAAGCCTAGGCTTTACCAAAAGAATATTTTGATACATGATGTATCTTACAAAGATATAATTACTGTGTTTAAAATAATTCAAGATATCTGCCCATATCTATTTTGTCAAAAACTTTAGTACTTTTTTCCATTAAATTTTTAAACTGAAGTTGCCATTTTTGCTCAAAAATGTATGTTATGACATTACTTTTATTTTTTTTTAAACTCATATGAATGTGTCGTCACTTATATTAAAATAAAGTAACGTTTTTTTTTTTCACCAGCAATCGAATATTGTAATATTTATTACAATTTTGCTTTTACAATCACTTTATTGTCTTTACATTAACATAGATTTAAGCCAATGAGATAGTTAATATACTTACTTTTAAATATTCTCTCAATATTATCAATACCTTTATCTCTTATAAAACTGTAGAGATACAGTAAACACCAAAATACCAAAAATATATTCCATCAATAACGTGCCTTGCACATTTTATTAATTTTGTGTATACAAGTAATTTAACTTATCTGTTAGTTTGGGTAGTAATAAAATTGAATCATCCAAATGATTAATGACAAATTCAATGTCAACATGGTCAAACATTGGTATATAAATTCCATCATATAATAAATTTGTCAAACTTTAGAGGTTTTGTGCAAATACAAATATGTTATTTGGTTGAAGCTAAATTGTATGTGTTGTCACCAATATCAGACTAATTTTGTTTATTTTCTAATTTAGGAACATTTACTTATAGTATTGACCAGACCTCTTTAGGAATAGAAACATTTGGGATACAGACAAATGGGGATTTATACTTAAAGAACTCCTTAGCTAGTTTTGGATATGGTGCAAGTCTGAGCTTTATCGTACAGGCAATAGATACCGGAAGTCTTCAAGGAACGGCAACTGTTTTTGTTGTATTACCACAAACAACAACTACAACAACGACAACAACGAACCGATATATAACGTTCTGGGAATATCCTGCGAATCCAGCATGGGTTATTGTTCTCAGTGTTCTTGGTGTTTTCATTTTGTGCCTACCATGTTTTATGGTCTGGAAAAACAGGGGATCTTGTACATATAAAGGACGGTAAGCTTGTTACATTTTTCAAGCACACAGAACTTAACGTTCTCAAATTTATATCGTCGCATGAAAATTTCATTTATTCACAATTAGTACTGAACAAATGCTGTTGATTTGAGTGAATATCAAATGAAAGCTGTTGCGAAAACCCATAATATATTGATGCATTTATCTGGGAAGGTAGTTTTTTCTTTCTTTTGTGTTTAAATATATTTATTGTTTTCTATTGTTCCTTTGTTTTCCTCTTATAGTTGATGTGTTTCCCTCGGTTTTAGTTTGTAACCCGGATTTGTTTTCTCTCAATCGATTTATGACTTTTGAACACCGGTATACTACTGTTGCCCTTATTTAGTAATAACCATTTAACATCAAACAGGTGTTCAATTAAAATCATTCAATATAAAAATAAGATGTGGTATGATTGCCAATGAGACAACTCTCCACCGGAGGAGCTCAAATGACGTAGAAGGTTAGCAACTATAGATCTGTAAATTCATTACAGAGTATGCATTTGTTCACCAAATCAACAGTTACAATAACTAATATGTCCATGTAACTTATGTTTTTCTTTCCAGACCTGATGACTACAAGGAAAGAATTCGAGAACCAAGCGAAGGTAATTGAATATCTAATACTTTGAATATTTGCATATTGACATTTTAGTAAATAGTCATTTCTACGCTTTTTGTTTTTCGAAAAAAAATTATTAAGAGATACAAATTTATACCAAGGTGCTACAACTTGTATCTTTTTTTATTATTTATTTGTTCTTTATTGTTTCTTTTTTTTATTATTATTTTAGGAATAACCTTTTTATAATAAACAGGTGTTCCATTTAGATAATTTATACGAGTAAATTTCAACTTAACTGAATCCGATTTCACAACTAGCATGCATATTGTCGTAGCCACAATCCTGGGTTTTTTTTTCAACGAATGAGACTTATCGCCAAAATGTGTACTTGCCATGAGCAACACGAAGGATGCATCATGTGGAACAGTATTCAGTATTTCTTAAATTCGTGTTTATACGTTTTAACCTACCTATGTAAAGTTTCGTACACTGTTGTCTGTCTTTCTATCGTTTCTTGGGATATTTTTTGTTCGCTTTTTCCGCGATGATGTTATCGGTTTTTCTTCGACTTATGTTTTTATATAGTCATTTTGTTATCTTCTGCATCTTAATTTAAAGGTTTGCACTTGTCATAGCTGCTGATCTTTTCGCATTTTCCGGACGTTAGAAGTAATTGTTTAGCAATTCCCACTGTTTTCGTCAAACATGTGATAAATAGGGCTTTTTTGTATGATTACCTTGTACTGCAATTTTAGATATTTTTCTTAATCTTATACTTATATAAATACAGGCAACAGTAGTATACTGCTGTAAAGCCGGAAATAATGGTAAAATCAATAACAGAAATCTATCAAAATACCATTACGGATAATGTTGACAGAAACCAAGCATAATAAGGGTGTTGAATATGATAATATTATTCTTCAATACGGCCTTCGGCAAAAAATAGATCATTCCCTAAAACATACGCTTTGAATATTCAAGACTTACTAAGTCTTTGATGAGTTCAGATGAAAAATCCGAATATCAGAAAACAATTGACAGAAAGAACATCTCCTCTTGTTATATTGTTCAATGGTAAAATAAACGTTCACTATTAGAAATCCGCAGAAACAGTTGTCAATTTATTAATTTCAAATAATAGATCCAGACACAGTCACATGAAAAAAATGACACCATGAAAAAATATTTCTGCGATTTATAACAGTCATTAAACCCAATCTAAATGTCAGAATGCAACAAAACAGCGTGTTAAGCACGTTCAAAACCTTACTACAAACATCCCAACCCACTTTACATATTTTTCTCTTCGTTAATCGAACTGCCTGTGGTATATGCCTTTATATTTAACAGTTTAACACCTGAGATCACTCCCAGTTTTTGTTTGGGTTCGTGTTGCTCAGTCTTTAGTTTTCTATGTTGTGTTTTGTGTACGATTGTTTGTCTGTTGGTCTTTTTCTTTTTTAGCCATGGCGTTGTCAGTTTTTTTTTTACTTTTGAGATTGAATGTCCCTTTGGTATCTTTCGCCTCTCTTTTGTGGTAATTTGCTTGTGAGAAAGCATTCTACATCTTCTATCATGAAACCACGCCACATTCTGTATATGCCTGTCCCAAGTCAGGAGCCTGTAATTCAGTGGTTGTCGTTTTTTGCTGTATCTCATATTTTTTTTTCGTTGATTATTTTGTACATCAATCATGCCGTAAGTTTTCTCGTTTGAATTGTTTTACATTTGTCATTTCGGGGTCTTTTATTGCTAGCTATGTGGTATGGGTTTGGCTTATTGCTAAATGTCGTGTGGTGACCTATAGTTGCTAATTTCTACGTCATTAAGTCTCTGGTGGAGAATTGTCTTCTTGGCAATCATATCACATTTTCTTATCTTTATATGAAAAACAGAAACACATGCTACAGTGTGGTTACATGTGATATTATCCTCCTTTTCAAATGAAAACAAATAGATTACAGAAAGTAAAAAATCTATAAAATCCTGAAACATCTAAACTGTTTTACAGTATATATGGTAACTGACCTCTAGGAATTAACTTTATCATCATCTCGATTTAAAATACCACATTATCATAAAGTGTCACATTTTTATAAACTAATCTCAAGTTATTGTAAAAAGCCTACAAAAAGGGGCTCATAAGGGTCCAAGCTGTCTTCTTATTAAAAGATAATATGATTAAAAGGAGATATGGGGTATATGTTAATGAAACAGCACACAACACACCAATGAAAACTCGTATAGTAGGAAGTCAATGAACATAACATTTGTGTGTGTTTCTGAAACAGGTTTAAAGCACATGTCTAATGTTTTTGTTTTGAATGGAAGGCTGTTACACTATTCATACTTACTCCATCAAGTATTTTATATAAAAAATAGGAGTAACATGGAGACCTAATGGGTAACTTTTTTGATTATTGGCCCAAAATTATGATATTCATAGTCAGAGTTTGTATATATCAAAAATTAACATACATCAAGAAAAAAATGTTTATTTGCAAAAATGAATTTTTAAGAATTATTTTCTGAAGATTTATAGAAGTCAAACAGACTATACAGTTTTTGCAGTGTAAATATCTAAGTTGTATAATACAATTTTCATTTATAATTTTGAAATAATGTTAACTTTCAGTGTATGAAAATAAAGAGGACATGACGAAAAAGAGAAAGTTTAATCTTAGATGGAAACCATGGATGTGGTTTGAGCGCAGTTGAATAAACCATGACAAAAACTCTAAGATTCTTTAGTTATTCGAATATTCAACGTCAGATTCTTTTTGTGATTTCATAAGGATACAGAGTAGAAATTTGTGTTCATGTAATACTTTGCAACCATTTACTCACATAAAGCACTATCTAGAATTCAAAATTGATTAGTCTGCGTTTTTTCATAATGATAAATTTTCTATTATTCATATCTGTTCCATTTTGTTTCATTTCTTAACAAAATAATACATGCAATACTTCACACTAGTGTCTATAACTTGAAATTATATTTATGATGTATATGACAATAACATCAGCTTGTGAAAGTAGCGCTTCACGGAATTGACAAATTCAATTATTTTAGAACGAGCGATGTAGTGATGCAGTAGGAATGGGAATATATGACATTACTAAGTCGTAATATTATAATAAACTGAAGTTTGTATTTACAACGAGGCAGTAATTGACAGTTTACACTTATTTATTAAACATATTAAGCAAGTCCCATTATTTTCTTGAACTTGAAGAAATCGTGATGTTTTCTGTATTAATGATCATAACATGACGCAAGGCCAATACCGGTCTAAAAGACTTTTTATTCTTCATTGTAGTTTTAGCGTCATTTCTTTGTTGCCTGATTTATCTTATGTTCTTTGTTTTAATGTCTTAATTTTATCTTGTTCTTTTTATTTGCTTGTTTTTAACATATCAATCTTCTTTTTCTGCATTAAAAACAAAACGTTTCCACGATATAAGCGTTATCAGTAATATAATATTTGTTTAATTTTCTAATAACTTCTTTGTTAATTATTGTAAGCCATCAACCTTAAGGTTTGAAATGTGCATTTATTTATGTCTGCAGAATTTGATTACTGTATTCTTAGCATACTGCTGTAACTATTTCATGTAAATTCAGGACAAAAAATTTATTTCATCGTACAGTCTGGCAGTAAAAGGATTTCTTAGGTGGTAAGATGCATTTCTTTAACGCTTGTTGGTACCGTTGCTGCTGGACTATAATGTGACAGACTCCGAGAATATCCTCCATCAAGAAGCCAGTGATTTGGTGTTGGAACACGTACGATATCAATTATACATTTTAGCATTAAATTTTCGTGTCGTTTGTAAAAAGAATTATATCATACGATTTTAATATCACTATATAGGTACTGCTAATGGTAAACTATATATTCCCGATTGAACCATCCAGTTCTTCTGTATTCGCATAAATTAAATTATAATTTGTGTAAACATTTTCAGTTCAACAAACTATTCAAATGAGTTTAACTTTGGGTAAGTTTTCAATTACCTATAAGCGATTTGGGCTGTTTCGTTTAGACGCTTTGTGCTGTCAGTCGTGCTTTATATGTATTTGGCTTCCAAATCTTGTTCCTACATGATTAATGTTATATCGACAACAAGTGATGTCGCACTGAAATCGGTATTTCATACGTTCATATTGTCTATCTGTAAAAAGAGGTAAAAAAACGCAAGGGTAAACCAAAAACCGTAAGTCACAGAAAAAATGAGAAAAAAGGCATCTTCAAAACACAAAACAGGAAACTTAAGATTGGAAAAACAGAAATCCTATCAAAAACAAGGGATGAACTCGAGTGCTCCGGAAAAGTTCCTGTTCTACTAGCGGCATAGCACTTAAAGATATTTATCACCTGCAAACTTGATCGTTAGTCAGTTTAGTGAACACATGTGACATTAACTTTTCTTCATGCACATTTCATAAATCCATCAATTGGAAACACTTCAAAAAACTGATGGATTCAGTCAGGATTATTACAGGCAATGGGTTCAACGTGAGAAAGAAGACGTAGATACTTTGTCGAAATGGATTAAGGCTGTGAGGTGGTTGATACAAATCAGAATTTCAAAACAGATAAAACCCCAAACAACATCGTTTTTGTGTGTAAATTACATTACACAAACTGCTTGATAAATAGATTAAGTATTGCCACTTCACTGGAAATTCAACATATACCCCCACAACACTTGCCAAGGAGGAAATCCTGAATAATCATTGGTCTGTTCTATGTTCCTTTGGAATTTCACCCAAAGTTGAAGGACTGGATCTTCCTTCACTGTATTGGATACTTAAATTACATAGGTGTCATTACACACAACTTTGAATTGCTGGGATTTTCAAGTACCCTACGAAAACTCTTACTAAATTATTAACATAAATGTTATCAGCTATCAAAGCTGGGCTTCAAAGTTATTGTGAAACTACCTATTCTAGAGATGGCGTGAATCAGATGTGGATACTAAAAAAAATCCAAAGATCTGTTACAGTACATACAATCTAAAACTCTTTCATCTTGCAATAGTAATAAAACATTTGATTTTTCTACCCTTTACACAAGTATTCCCATTTCAAACTAAAAAAGACAAATTGAAAGATCTGGTCCTGCTTTGCTTCATAAAAAAGGATGGACAACGTAGATACAAGTATTTTGTGTTAGGAAGGGATAAATCGTACTTTGCAAAATATCACTCTGATTCAAACAAAAAATTCTCTGAAACTGAAATTATTAAGATGCTTTAATTCTTGATAGAAAACATATTCGTAACGTTTAGAGGACGTGTTTTTCATCAAACAATTGTCATTCCCATTGGAACCAACTGTACTCCTCTTCTTGTCGACTTATTCCTTTAATCATATGAGGCTGACTTCATACATGATCTTCTTACTTCATACATGATCTTCTTAGAAAGAAAGAAAAGAAGCTAGCAATATCATTAAAAGTCGTTTACTCTAAGGGAAATTAGATTAGATTTGCACTTTGAGAATCTTACATTATCATATCTAATTCTAAACAGTTGACCGGGTTCTAAACGCATGCAAATATCACAAAACCGCAAGTCTGGCAGAATTTGAAAAACTATGAGTAGTCAACTAAAAATGTCAAAGAAAGATATTCATAACCAAATTTAAAATTATGTTGGAACTTAAGTTGTACATTTTCCGTTACATATTATTTCATTTTGATTAGTGACGTCCTCCGATGCATTTACAAAAACGTTTAAAATTTATAAATTTGTATCAAAATGACTTCAAAAAAGCAAAATTAGCGCCGAATTCCATAAAGAAACATGTTTGGAAAAAGTAAACTCATATAGAGTTTTTTCGTCAATATTCAATTGATAACTTTCAGATTTTGAATCTGTGAGTGAAACAAATACAATCATGATTACAGGGAAAATTTGTCATACTTCTTTCCTTGAGTATTAATTCAAATTTCCATGAGTAATGATAACATGGATAAAACACAATGTTGACAGAATTTGTCGTAAAATTGCACCTCAATGGAAAAATGCATATGTATCCTTACACCCCAGTTATATTGTTATGCTTCATAGTTTCCATTTCTGAAACAAGTGTAAATTGAATAGATCTATTGTTACGAATAACAATGGATTTTATCCACAGGGTGTGACGAGCGGGGTTTCTGGAAACCCCTGCTTCTACATCCCGCAAACAAAGTCCATTGTTATTCGTAACAATAGAAATTTATTATTTTTTAAATAGCATGAACATAAGAAATTACTAATAGTGTTCACTACAAATTGTTTCATGATATTAAAAAAAAACACATTTTAGGAAATTCCAATAAGCATCTATATGGAATACAAAAATAATCCTTTAAATACTCTTTTGCTCGAAGGTAATTTTTTTTTATCCCAGTCACATGTCTCTATTCTAAAGCATTGATCTTTAAAAATAAATGGGGATTCTAACTCCCGGACCCCCCCCCCCCCCTGGTTACCCAGTGGCCGATCCGGGGTTGGGGGTTCCGCGGGTTGGACCCGACTTTTATTTTAAAGATCAATGCATTTGAATGGTTGGAACCCCCACCCCCTTTTTCTCTTGAGTTGGGAACCCCCGGCTGGATCAGCCCCTGATTGCCCTTAAAGGGAGTTCCTCTATATTAAATATTGTATGTTGAGCGTGTCTGGTAGTCGGGTTTCTAATGCAGACACACCTATCCCTTAGTATGTTCGAATATGAATGTTTGTTTATTCTCGAGAAGAGGGGGGGGGGGGGGGCTTTTGTTTTTGATAAAATCGTAAAATATAAAATACAGTTATGATTACCTTTATTAAACTGATACAGGTAAGTACTTTGGGTTATACCATTGCCTTTATCTGTAGTCTCTTCTACCAAATCCAACGCTTGACTCAAAATGTCGTCCGTCTTATACCCGTCCATATTGACAACTGTATACCAGGAGCATGATGTATTTTTTTGTTTGTAATAAGGATACACGAAACAGTCAACCTTGACCTGCTGATCCATATTAGCACATGGATTTAACGGGAATATGCAAAACAACTTTGACATTTGTAAAATATACTCACTTGTCAAAGTTTGAACGAAGATACCCAAAGAAAGGTTACTAGTGGGGTTTCATGTAAAAAAAAAATGTTTTTCTTATAAATCATGGTTTGATATTGTCAATAAATATGCTATCGTGTTTTTTTCATTTAATAATCAATGTTAACAAATATAGTTTAGAATGGGGTGTAAGTTAGTTATACACTTCGGGATACGGCGTGTCTGGATAAGAAACCCCTCCGGCCTCCGGCCGACGGGGTTTCTTATCCAGACACACCTATCCCTCGGTGTATAACTATTACTGCAACCACCACTGGTGACATGTATAACAACTATATCGTTTCGAGAAACACAATATCTGATTTATCCTTACAAGCAATTAACAACAAACAAATATTTCTCCATTAATCTAGAACGGTTGTAGAAATATTACATCCACAATCGAAAATAGTTATATGTGTATTTATATTAAAAAAACAAATAAATAAACAGAAATCTCACCTTTATCACCTTTGATCATTGAGAAGCTTAATATTTCCTTAACAATTAAAACGTTCAGCTGATTTTTACAGAGTTATCTCCATGTAGTGTCATGTACCACCTTAACGCCGTAAATTGTTATAAAAGCACAACTAAGAAGATCGATTGACCAATTAAAACAGTAGAAGAAATTATATCACATGATAGGATTACTACGGATTCCGTCCGTCAAGGTCAACTTTGTAAAAAGTGCTAACATGGACACTTTCCTGTTCATTACCCCTATAAAATAATATCAGTGATCACTTCTTTTTACTATCAACATGGTATTCAAGTTTAATAACTGCATGTCTCATTTGTTTTATTTTAAATGTCTATCTTAGTATCGTAATAAACATGTTAATTGTATCAAATCAAGTGTATGGCGATGACTTGCATAGCTATTAGTCGAAACGTTTCCAGTCTCATAAAAAAATATATCAAAAAGTAATATATTAATTTATTTGACTCATGGGACTACAAATATCCCATGTGACTGAAAAATATCCCATGGGACTAAAAAAAATCCCATTGGATTAATTGCAAAAGAACTTTATAGTCTAGAGCTTTAAAACGTGGTATTTAATAAATCCCATGTTATTCTGTACATTCTGGTTATTTACATGACAGGCGGCGCCGGATTTGAAATTGAGTGATTTGCAAATTTAAAGTGTTCAGTGTTTATATTATTATATGTGTGTAACTGATACTACCAAACCAGTGATCAGTAGAGGAATGAATAGTATCGTGTTAATACTAACTCTTTATTTCCTATTATTTTTCCGTCCGATTCTTTATTATTTAGACCATACTTCAACCAATCTATTGAGCACAATTGTCAATAACGTGGACAGTTCTCTCATAGGCAATCATACTTTAGTGC